AAAAACCTTAAGACGCTCAAAACAGCAAAACTGAAAAAAAATGTTGCAGGCTCTGTGTGATGCGAAACCTTCTAGTAGGCAGTTATAATTATGTTTTCAAAATACATGCATTGTGTCAAAGCAGCACATGTTGTTTAATCAAAATGATTATACTGTAAACATATTTAAGATACACGCATGACAGAATATAGTTCATTTTAGTAAGTTACATTACATACAAGTATTGAGATCTAAATATTGGCTCACATTAATTTAATATTATATAATACATTTGTCACTTTCATCTGCATGTGTTAAAACATTTCAGATCTCTTAACAAATAAATCCTTTACTATTTTTATTATGCCTAAGAAAAGTATTGAATTTCGATGCCAAAACAACATTTATTTACATTATCTACATGATGATGTGTCTTAAATCCACTGTAATTTTACAACAACCTTTGTAAACTACGGGATAAATGATGGAAAAAGAAATTCAAAAAAGTGTAAAAATGTAAGTCAAATATTGAAAGAATAGTGAAGCGTTCGTTTGTATTTATATTGTCCAGAAAAACACAAATTCAATAATATAATGTACTTAGACGGACTGTTATATACTCTTATTGATAAATTCGACGAAAAAAAAAAAAAGCCGAGCGATATTTTGGTATTTTGAAAGGCACAAACTGTCAGTGACACAAATAACTTTGAATTATCAGCTTGAAATCGTTCACTTATAGCAAGAACACGTCCATTTTAATTGTAAGTAAACATTTCAAACGAAAATAGACGATTAGATCGACATTTCATTCAGCCATTCTAAAGACTGAATGTTTAAGCAATTCTAACGATATCAACTGGAAACACGTTCAAAATGTCATTTCATGCAAAATTTGTCACATTTATTTTTACTCATGTTTTCCTACTGTAGATTTAGAATTGCAATTTTCAACTGCAGAGTAAACAACAGAAACTATGTTATTTATTTCTAACTAATGTTTGAAATTAAATTTATCAAACCCTTTGCCATTGCATTGGGAAAACCATGAATTTATTAAGATAGCCGTCCATTGTAAACACAAGTAGATTCATAAAATCTTTGCGACCCTCTTGCAATAAAATTACAAGAAAATTGCAGACTCGGTTTGATTAAGTCTTTACATGAGAGATAATATACAATTATGAATCATTCAGGCAATAAAAAAAATAATGTCATTTATAAACAAAATAAAAGTGAATCGTGTTTTCAAGAGTGTCAATAAAAATGTAGTAAGAAATTTTAATGCATGTTAAATAAATTATTTTGAAACATAAGTATTAGCTTCTAACATTAGTTTATAGACTCTAGAAAATCTAAACCAAGAATAAAGTCAATTAATGAATAATACCAATAATCATTTTTGACGATATTGCTAACATTACAATTTCATTCAAAGGAGAAATGGAGTATAAATTACGGGATACAATAATTCTTTTCGATGTTATATGCGTAACTTCACAGTTTATACAGTCTTCAGAATATCAATGTTGACGAAGCATGTTTGTTGGCTACAAAATAAAATGAATGTTGTTACATATATGCTTGATATTAAGTATGTCAAAATGGTCTTGTAACAAGTTTGTACTTTTCTTTGTTAAATGGTGTCCCGAAAAGAAGGCTATCTTAAATACTACCATTCGATCGTTTAATCGCTATTCCTTATTGCTTTGTAATATTGGCCTTTTTATACATTAACTATTTGCTGAATAATCTTTGGTACCGTTGTTTTTGTATCGATTTGTCTTCAAAATCGCATGTGTGCGTATCAATTTCATTTTATAACAAAACATCAATAATTCAGTTCATATTTCCGTGACATAAACAATTAATGGTAAACAAAACAAAAGTTAAAGTATGATAAATTATAAATTGTTTCAATCTTCAGGGAAACAACTTTGAATAAAAATGACTTATTAAGGGAAATGAAAGCTGTCGTAGCTGAAATATAATATATTAGGAAATACTTATCGATTTAGAAAGTAGCGTAATAACACCCTATTGTATATGTTTTTATTAACGATTAGCATTTCCTTTGCTGTATTTTTTACAGTTAATTTGAAGTATTCTTTTGTATCAACCACAGTACAATAAAGATAATGTATCCGATTTTTAATTGATGATTATAATTGGTTACTCAAATATCAAACACTAGATGAAAACAAATAAGTGATTATTTGAACATTGATTTTGAACATTTTATAGTGCCTCGTTAGATATCTAAAATAAAACCAAAAGAAAGTTTATGTACTACTTGAAGGTTAGATTAAAACATCGTTAAACGAGGAACACTATTTATTTATAACTTTAAAGTGACATTATGCTCATTTGTTTATTGTCAACTTCAGCAGCTGAATTGATTATATACATGTATTTTAAAAGATTGACTGTTGAATGACGATTGACCGACAGTTCATATTGGACAATGTTCAGGGTAAAATGTATAACAACTGCCCAGCCCTTTTCCTTTTTCAAAAATTGAATGTTACAGGTCAATTCCGAAGGATACTTGCAGAAATTTCAATGGCCAATGTGAGTTATTTATCGTTCGAAATAAATTTTAAAAAAATGGAAAAATGTAAAGTTATTCTTGCTTTCATCTGTTCTTTCACGAATACCTTTACATTTGTCTATTATTATATAGTATTATATAATAAGATATAAAAAATCATTTACGAATTACGTTGACATCAACAAGACTTACAGGCTATTTTACACCAAATGTACAAAACGGGACACGTTTTATTAAATGCAAAAACAAGGATTGAGTTAATATACTGTTAGGTAAAAGTAAAATAATAGCATTTTTAATACTCAAACTAATTAAGAGAAATAATAGTGGAAGAAATGCTAATATCAAACATTGTTATGTAAAAAATTGTTACATAATATAGTTCAATGCATGTATAAGCGTTTTACAATTTTTTTTTTCAATTCCATTCCTAAAAATATAAAACGGATTATCTATAATCAAAGAAAGTAATGCAAAGAATGAGAAGATATTTAAGCACGTCTGTTCGTTCTCTATACATCATATTGGAAATCTGTTTTACGCTTTCGGACGATTCTCTTGCCATCAAGCCAATGCAAACAGAACGCGTCCTGTCATTTGTGGGCGATATACGAGATTGCCTGCATGTTTTATTGCAGAAAACTAGGATACTACAATCTTTTATTTATTGTGAATGTGTTTAAACAATTATTATCGTAGATAAACTGTGGTGTGTTCTAAGATATAAATTTGGATAATTATGCAATATTTATTATAGAGATGAAAAATTTAGTATTTTTTTCAATATGTTACTTGAATGGATAACGGATTGCGGTGAATTGGAATAAATAGTATTTTGATAACTTTATTACAGGTAAATTAAATTCATTTTACTTCGTATTCCTTATAATATTATTATAAAATGCAAGCTTAATATAATGTACTTTTAATATGTGTACGTTGTAACAATGAGACATTTTGAAAGTAATTAATTCAAAACTGTTGCGCTACTGATGACATAGTAAATTAAATTAAATTAGATTAAATAATGATGTTGATTTATTTGATGTATCGGTATAGCATAATTCTATATTTCTTATATTTATACACTAATCTTGTTTCAAATAATAAAATTAATTAAATTGAATATTTTCTGATTTGCAGTGACAATTATTTCCTAAATTTACAAGGAAATTTCAAGGAAAATCTCTCCCCCAGCACACAAAAAATAAAATAAAAATAAAGTAAAATAACCCAAACAAATAGATTGTGCGACAGACATGTAATTTAATATAAGCTATACGTGAGTCGGTAAGGCATTTGAATCGTGCATCAAACATTTTTAACAATTTATTGGTATTTCTTTGAGCTTAAGCCTACACTACAGACACATAGATCTGTTTTAGATTTTTATTTGAAATTTATGTATATATATATCCGTGCTTTGAATGACTGTCAGGATATTGAAAGAGAACACGCTCGTCATTTCTGTATAATCTGAGATATTGTCAGGCGTGTTCATCTTAAGGAGAAAACAATATCTTATTAATTTTATTTCAAAATATAGCATCAGAAAATAAGTGATTTGATTTTGTGAAGAAAATACGAAAGACGCTATAAGTTGTTTAAAGCGAAAACTTTTTTTTGCGTAAGAAAAAGATAGGAATTGTATTCACAAATAATATTTTATCACGTTTTCATTGTACATGTTTTTGGATTTTATATAAAAATTAAAAAGATACACTTATTTCCTGTTGAAGAAAATGATTGCGACCAGAGGTATTTTTGCGACAGTTCACAAAAAAATAAGGAATGAAAAGCAACAATTAGATTATAAAAAGTTAAACATTTTGCACCGTTAGACTGATTATTTGTAATGAGCTTAAATGACACTATGTATGGTGCAAATAAAATAAATTTATATAAAAATACAAATACCGAAAGCACCGCACAAATTCAATAGTTTAAGGCATTTAGAATTCTACACATTTTAAAAGACTGGTATATTGCGAAGTGATTCGTGATTGGTGATAAAGCGGATGATACTGATATTTTACTGAAAATGCTTTTGGCGATTTGTTCACGAAAATATTGTGTACAATGTGAACAAATAATTTGCAACAATCTTTTTAAAATACTTAATTAACTGAATAGAAAATGTAAAATAAATAAAGACAAAATTTCGATATTTCTGAGACTTTAACTTGAATTGTTTTACTTCTCAATAATAAACAATCCAGTAATTGTTTGTTGTGCAGTAAATTAGTGAACATTTTGTGAAAATACTACGTTAAGTCTTGTTATTTTTTCAAATCATTGTTGTTGTAAATGTTATTGTAGGTTCTTTAAATCGTTATTCTGTTATATGTATGGAATGTTTACTTATTTTAGGAAACAGGCTTACAAATTATTGCTGATATTTGTAGAATTGGAGGGAAAACCGCTGCCCAATAAGTCAGTTCAGATATTGATGGGAATTACAAAATATCAATAGGCGAATGCTGTTCCAGAACCATAGATAAAGAACGAAGTAATTCAGAATTATTTGATCATCAAGGATTTGTGGTCCTGCTGGGAGCTTTGCGTGTTATGCCAACAAGATAACAATTTGAATAAAAATCTGGATAAAGAATAAACCTGTGTTTGCTGCATAACGTCTGATCGTAGTCTAGATTTACATTTTAAGAAGGACATACAGTCATTTTAGTGAAGTGATAAAACGGTTCAATTTTTTTCGTAGAAGTATTCTATATAATAGCAAAATATAATAACTACATAATGTGTTATAAAGTCATCATTTTAGACACTTTTTCTCACGGAAGAATAAGTACAATCTCATGATGAAGTGGAGATTTGACGAGATATGAAATTATGAGTACAAATAGCATAATTACTGGTAATGTAGTAATGGGATATATATGGTTATGGTCGAATATTCAGCAAATGTGCATTCTGAAAGCATGAACTATGTGCACTACATATGGATTCTTCTATCCATTCTTGTGTCTGTCACATGTTCGTTTTGTTTCCTTCAACCAGAGTGGATAATACATCCAAATGTTCAGAACGCGTTTGGAATATATGCCTTCTGTGTCGGTAGCGCAGGATCTGCCCAATTCTCACGAACCTGTGGATTTTATGGCGGACGTTTTGGATTCGGAAACATTCCATGTACAATTTGGCAAGCAGCGTGTTTGCTGTACGGAGGTGGATCATTGTTCACATGTTTTGGAGCATTATGTTCCCTCACAACAATGTGTGTACGGAAAGGCTGGAATAAAACATTAGTACTTTCCACAAGATATCTACAAATATCTTCAGGTATATGAATTTTATTTTCTATATATAAATAATCTTGTTTGAACTGAGAAAAGATAACTCATTGTTCTTAAAATCAGACTTATCATATGAATTTCAAAAATATATTGTTACGGTATTTATTTCAAATTGAATATAAATAGAGAAATATATATTTAAACCATTAACCATTCTTATTTATAAACTCATCTTCTTTTATATCTATTGATGCGAGGAAAATAATATAAAAAAAGCTGTTACAATGATAAACCAAGAATACTTCACTCCTACAAATACCAATTGTACTATAGACAAATATCTTGATATCTCCGTTTGTCCCTTTCAGGGCATTACGTTATCCGATAAATCTGAATATGTATTAATAATTCATGTAGGAGGTAATTAGAAATTTATTTTATAAAAGTCTAAGTCAAATCTTTGAATGAATGCATATATTTTAATGATTACTTATAATGTGCAGAAATATTGGCAGTCAATACTTTACATAATCTTCGATGTTTGAAAATTGTTTTATAAGCATAATTATATACATATATAAAATTTCACTTACGTGTGGTAACAACCTCATTTATAACAAACAAGATATTTAAGTCGATATCAGCCAAAGTCCAAAGACAACACTTTTTTATGTTTATACTTGCGGTATCTTCACATATTAAATTTGAAAGAAAAGTTTGAAAGTAATATCTACGAAGATGGATTACTTTTTTCATTACATCCTGTAATTGTCATTCTGTATCATACATTTGTATCTGTTACAGTATATCAGTTAATGTGATTAATTTTATGATTATATTTCTGTTGTTTTAAATTATAAATGTGCAAAAAAAGTTTTCATTGCCCTTAGTTATCATCATAAACAAACATGTATTTTCAGTGTTCTTGATGACTTCTGGCCTTCTTGTCTTTCCACTTGGATTTGATTCCAACTACTTCCAGTTGTACTGCGGCGCAGGCGCTGATGTTTTCAACTCGGGAATATGTCACGTTGGATGGACATACGTTTTAGCTATAGTGGGAGCGGCGATTTCTATCTTTTGCCCGATTCTGTCGTATTTCAGTGCTGAAGAAACATCTGAGAACGAAGTGTTTGACTTTAAGATATAGTGACATGAAATAAAATATGCATTGTAAGTTGTGACTACGCAAACCTTTGTAATTGCCACACTTCAGAAAGACAATTCTCATATCAATCGTATAAGATTAACAATGGTTTGTCTTTTCTGAGATAAGTGTTAGCAATAAGGGTAATTTGAACAAGAAGTAATGGGTAGATGCCATTTGATAGCCACCTATTCGACTGAAGCTCTGAGCTGCTTAGAATAAAAACGCTTCAATATGATTCCATTGCAGATTTTTGGACAGACTTAAATCATTCTTATTATCATTTGTAATGTATATTATTTCCAATTTACCATTAGTATCTGGATTCATAACATTGCAATTTTGCATTTATTACGACTGAATATATTAAATATAAATGATTTATTTATGACATACATTGCCTGATTTGGGACTGGTATTCGAATTCAAATGGAACTTACGTATTGCATATGTGATTTCTTAACTGATATGCACTTGTTTTGTATACAAAAAAAAAAGATTTAAATGCAATTATCAAAATGCTACACAAATAAAGTGTCTCTCAAGATTTTCAATTCTATTCCAAATATTTATATAACTTGTTTTTGTTTTTGAAATTTTATGCTCTATGTTGAAACAATTGTTTATTTGCTGACGGTTATAATCTGAAATAAATGTGATGCAATCGACTAGTTGTATTAAATTTAAATAAAATATTTTCAAATAAAAATGACAAAATCATCCTACTAAGGAGATTGTTTAAAAAAAATGTTAAAGGTATTTATCAATGAACAATTCATTTTTGCTTAAAGGAGACAAAATGCAACATAAACACTCTTGTTTTATGGGCGTATCAAACTTATACCCCAGCAAATTCAAACGCAAATTAATACATGTTTTAACCCAGCAAATTCAAACACAAATTGACACATTTTATACCCCAGCAAATTCAAGTGCAAATTAAGACATTGTACATACACAACCAAATAACAGCTTTCACAACGCTGATGACGGAGGTAGATGACATGATTAAAGATGACAGATTATGCTTCTTTATAAAGTAGGAAAACGTTGAATCTTCTGGATCTTTATGAGATTATAGTATGCTTAAATAAACATACTATTATACATCATTCGTTTGTGAGCACAAACAAAATTTTCTTCATATTTCCTTTTCTTTGCTTGTCAACATGTGTTACCTTTATATATATATTGTTATATTTAGTTTGAGATGCATATAGTACTATAATTAACATAAAGAGATTTTTGTAGTTTACAAAAAATTAAAAGAAATAAAAAAACTACGAATTTAAACTTATTAAAGATATAAAGACAATTATATTTATTTTACTTTAGTTCAAACGTGTAAGCTTATACATGTAGATATGGGTCTTGAGACCAAACAGTTCTTCGCAGTCAATATAAAGTTTCTTGCTGAAAGGAAAACATGCTTGCCTAGTAAGGTGTTTATAAAACGCTCGGCTAGCAACGTGTTAAATACTCTCCCACTTGTTTGCCTAAATACTGCAGCTGACTTGTGATCCATATAATATATCTATATCTAATACAAATCATATGCTGCCTGTTGCATTTGTTGCATGAAATAAGCAATTTTTACTGGTTCTTATTTACTAGACGTATGATATTTTTATGAAAGATATCAAAGTTAATATATCAGTTTATACTGTATTATTTATAACAAATAGTACGATAATGTCCATTCATTTTTCATCTTCACAAAACACATGCCATAATTATTGCAATAATATTGACAGAAAGTATGTATTTCTATTGGCAAACAATCCCACAACAGAGTTTCTGAATGTGCCATAGAGAATATTATGTTCAGAAAATTGGTCATTACATGAAGTAGAGCGAATCATATTGGAGAAACTGAATATGTCAAACTGAGTGCTCTACTACAGGCATGTCAATTTGTTTCAATAAAAAGAATATTTTTCCATCGAGTAAAAAGGATTTACCACATTGCTCGTATGTCACTTTTGCACTTTAATGGACACAGTTTCTTATGGATTCAGCATGTTTAACCTATTACATAGTATATCTAAAACGTACGAATTATTTAAAACTTGAGAGTTGTCTGATGTAGCAGTGTTAAATAAAGAGACATGAATTGTTCGCATTAACGGATAAAATCATAAGTTGTTGATATTCGTGACTAAGGGTGTCATCTATAAACGACATAATGCTATGACGGTCCCGGTAGTTTCAATATCAAATCATTGCACGAGCACAAGAAATGCAGGACGATACCGATATTCTTAATACGAAAACATATCAAAGTTTAAATGAAACACGGGCAACTTTTCAATGCTGTAATACAACACTTGATACCTGCTGTTGTAAATACAGAAATATTGCGAATGTATATTGAGTTGAACAAAAAATGAATTATGGTTGGAACATGTGTCCTGTTTCCAACGACTTAAGTCTGGCTTTATCAATGTTGAAATGTAATCTGTGTTATCAAAATGTTGATAGTTTATAGACAGCTATTCTAACAATCTCAGTTGTCTAAACGTAAGGTTTTGTATAAGCTACCGTCATATCTTTCGCACTGGCTACCTAAATTGAAATTTAATTTACTACAAAAAACCTGTCGTGCAATTAAAAAGCAAATTAAAACTTATACAATTGATAATACATACATTCTTTATCGGCACTTGTACAAGGTGCAAAGTGATTGGACTTAAGCAAAGCAAGGTCTTCTTAAAGGTTAAGCCATACAAAATGATTTTCCTTTCTTTATTTGTTATTGAATGATCATTGGGTTAGAATCAATAACTAGTTTGCACGGAATGACACTCTAATACCTGAATATCATTCCAAATAGAAAGTAAAAGTAATCAAATACAATCAATGTTGTATTAACATAGGTATACCTTTAATTAGCGTTTCGCAAATAGTTTTCAGCTGTCTTAATTTGTCTCAGAGTCGTTTAAATATTATTTCATGAGATTCATGTTTAATACGTAAACCCGTAATATTTTATTACTTTATATAATTATGAAGAATATACATGAATTAAGACATACAAGTTAGCTGTACAAAAATATACAATTTTGACAATTGTTCTTAAAGCAGCAACCAGATAAATGTATTTTATGGAATAATAAACAAACAGCTCTTGCCATTAAAATATATTATAAGAACATGATTGAAAGCATTGAGCTATACTTTTAACTCTAAGCAATCATTTAGAGTCACTTAAAATTATAATTTTTACTAGTTTGTCATAGAGATTTTCTTGGAATGCTTCAGTCGTTGTATAGCTGGAAAGACACCGCATGACCTTTTGTCGTTGTGACTTTATATAATATTAAAGGGGCTACACTGAGGTCTGACAGGTAATTTGGTGTCCAAAAAAAATGTAAACAAATTTCCTCACAAATCACAATATTATGACTAAAATAACAATAACTTACACTTTAACCAACCCTCTAACAACAATTATGCTAGAAATTGCATTTTCACATCAGCTTTTGATGCAAAAATGAAAGTTGATTTTCCCAGACATGTACAGAAGTTACCCACAATTCATCGGGTATGACTAAAATACGCAACGGACATTTTTGGAACAACAGAGTAAACGGGGGTAAAAAAATCTATTGATTTTTTCTCAACACTTTAACCTATCATGTTTATATAACTTGAGTATAACGAAGAAAAACTGTATAAAAGATAATCAAGGTAGCAATTTCGTTGTCTTTAAAAATCAAACGCCAGCGAAGCGGACATTTTCTAAACAAAACGGAAAGATATTATATACATTTACAATTATTTTCATTGACATTTCAGTTTCAATTTCAATATTCCAAGGCAAACATAATGCATCGGTGATATTTATACTATAACGAGCACAGTGTAATCACACTAATAAAAGTATCAAACGCTATCTATAACGTATTTAAATCAAATACAGTTAATGACATGTCTCATTTGATTTGATTGTTTGTTTTTGGGATGGAGTGGGGGTTACGTCACACAAAACTGTGTAGGTCATTTTGGCGACTCTTCAGTTTTACTGGTGGAGTAAGAACTCAGGTGCTACCTTTGCAAAATTGTTTCTGGCACAAACGGGCATCTGTGTATGTAATGAGTGACGTTTCGTAGGCTATCTTGATAGGATCGTACATACACGTTCCACACACAATTACATCATATTCATACCATAGGCAAAATTAAATGCACGTTCCCTGTTGTAACAATATGAAACCCCAGAAAAAAACCTATGAACCAGCTTCTGAATGTGGCATTTCTATCGTTATTCCAAAAAAGCACCCCCCCCCCCCCCCCAAAAAAAAAAAAGAATGAGTACATCAATGGGCATGCTGTGGAGTGTTGGGAACTATTACCTGCACTCCAGTTACGCACTGTACATGTGCATGTAACTCTGACACGTTTTCAACAGAAAAGTCTTCAAACTAAGATACAATAAATGTTTATGATTCTATTAGAAACTTGTTTAGAATTTAATGATTTTTCGGTGAAAACGATATAGTTTACTTGTACTACAGGTAAGATCAAAGTGCTGAAGGCACTGAAGAAAAACCCGGCTAAACTTACACATTTTCACTCGAGTTTCACAGGTAAATTAATTTTATATGTCGCGGTTTACATCTTAATATCAGCTAACCTTTGCTTTTTGAGACTTTTGTTTTTGAAAATAATCTAAACGAGTAAAATAAACCCTCTTTTATGGGCAAATAATTTAATAAGTAGCATACCCGATTTCTCTTTCATAAATTGGCTTTAGCAAACTCTTTTCTATTCAAATATTAAGAACATTCTGTCAGTGACGTGTCTTCTACTTGAAATCTTCCTCGTGTGTATTTTCGGTAGAAAATGACAGTCTGTTCGTATCTTTCTGTAACAGGAAGAAAATGACAGTCTGTTCATTTGATCATGACTGTGAAAAATCATGTTTTGTGAACCAATTTATCCTGCCGATAAAGATTTTGCAAGCAATCTGGTGGTTTATGTTCTTGTGCTTACACTAAGTATTTAATTCCAAAGAACATTTCTTAGGAGACCTTTAACGTTTGATTACGGTATAATCACTATAACCAAAATACTTAAGAATTAATTTTAATTCCTGTTACTGTGAAATTTTTTGTTCAAGTGTTTAAAATACTTAAGTAGCTCTATAATTTTTCGAAACGATATCCAGTATTTCCGAAACAATTTACAAAGGCTTTTAATACACAATCTTATAAATCTTAAAGTATTACGAGAACCACCCACCTAATCTCCAGAACATACATACGAAAAACAAGATAAATCAAAAGGCTGCAAGCTCTGTGGTATTTTCTGATCTTTGCAATCTAAATCGCAGTGTATAACTGTTATATTTTCCTGTATAAATTTATTTTTATGTACTATAATTCTTCTTGCTTGGTACCAGAGTTTGATACATATGGAATTTTGCATGACTAGAGTTGCATCAAAAAATCATTTATGTTCATTTTTATGACGGCCACATTTTATCCTTGCATATCGTGGCTATTTCC